CTGCCGCTGCTGCTGCTGCTGCTGTTGTTGCTGCTGCGGGGAACGGGAGGCGGATCCCAGAGCATGCACTAGAGGCCTCCACCAAAGGGCCCCCCCGTGTACCCAAAAAAAGGGGAATGCTCACAAGACCGGGGGCCCTAGACGGCCTTCAGCAGCAGCAGCAGCAGCAGCAGCAGCAGGAGTTGCTGCTGCCGGGTCTTCTCGCAGCAGCAGCAGCAGCCGCAGGGCCCCTCGAGGTCTCCCAGAGGCTGGCATACCGAATATGGGAAGAAGTCTTTGCCCTGCCTTTGCAGCAGCAGGTGGGCCCCTCCACTATAAAGGCTTGTCTAGGGGGGCCCTCAAGGGGCCCCACCTGTTTAGAGGGGCCCCCAAGGGGCACCAGCTGTTTAGAGGGGCCCCCATGAGGCCCACCTGTTTAGAGGGCCCCCCAGAAGGCCCCGCTTGTTTAGGGGGGCCCCCAGGGGGCCCTTCTATTTGGGCCGCTGCACTAGTAGCCCCCCTTTCGAAGCTTCTTAGGACATTTGGGGCCCCCGCTCCAGAGTGCACGCCGCTCTAGAGCGCAGGATCGCTAGCTAGCTAGCCAGCCAGCTAGCTAGCTAGCCAGCTAGCTGGCTAGCTAGCTGCGTGTTTGTGGGTTTGTGGCTGTGAGTTCAGGTGCAGGCCCTGCAGTCGCTGGGGCCAGGGCTGCTTTATGTGCTTGCGGGGCACCTGGGGGCCCCCTTTGAGGCTTCGTGGCTGCAGCTGGGGGCCCCCAGTGCCCGGGGTCCCCCCAGCTACATAGAAAGATGCAAACTTGCTGCGGGGCTTTTCAAGCTGGTGGAAGCTGAGGTTAGTCAGGGCTCAGGGGGCCCCCAAAAGGGTCCTTTGGGACAGTGTCGAGAGGGACAGCCGGGGGCCCCACCTGTTTACAGGGGACCCCGAGGGGCCCCACTTGCTTAAAGGGGCCCCCAGGGATTTATTACCGGAACTGGGTAGCCACAGAGGGCCCCACTGCTGAGGCCCTGCTGCTGGCTGCTTTTATGGGGCCTGGGGGCCCCCAAAGGGGCCCCCAACGGGCCACAGGGGGCCCCCGGGCCTCTAAGGGGCCTTTTGGGGGCTGCATGGGAACCTCCTAAGGGTCTCGTTGGGGGCCCCCAGAGCCCCTACGGAGACCGAAAAAAGAGACAGTGCATTTGTGCTGTTTTTGTTTGTCTGCAGCTCTCAGAAAGGGGCCCCCCTGGGCTTGAGGGGGCCCCTGGGGGCCTCCTGGAGCTGCAGGGTCAAGAGCCCTTGGGGGCCCCCGCGTCTTTGCGCATTATGAGCTGTATGTACACCTGCGGGGCCCTCCTCGCCCCCAAGTGTCCCCAAGATCTTGCACTTGTCGAAAAGGAGATTCAACTCCGAAGCTTTCTTGAAATGTCCTTTCCAGTGAGGCAGCAGCACCTGCTGCTGCTGCTGCTGCTGCTGCTGCTTCTGGGCCTGTGCGTGGCTGCTTTGCTGCTCATTTGCTGCGGGCTGCTGCTGCTGGTGCGGGTGCAGGCTCCCTTGCTGCTGCAGCGGACCCAGGGGCCCCTGAGCTACTTGGCTTGGCAGCTGCTGCTGCAGCTGCCAG